TCTTTTTTTTAAAGATCTATTTATTTATTTATTTGACAGAGATCACAAGTAGGCAGAGAGAGGGGGGAAGCAGGCTCCCCGCTGAGCAGGGAGCCCGATGTGAGGCCTGATCCCAGGACCCTGAGATCATGACCTGAGCTGAAGGCAGAGGCTTAACCCACTGAGCCACCCAGGCGCCCCCAAAGCTCAACTCTTAATACAACATCAGTTGGAGAGTTTCTTTGCTTTTTGTTGTTTAATTTTTTTTTTAAAGATATACTCACTTCATGATCCAGGTTATTTTTTTTTGTTTTTCTTGTTTTTTTTTTTTTTTTTTCCCAGGAAAACATAAATCAAGACAGGACATTAATCATCCACCAAGTGTAAGTCAGTATAAGGAGGAGTGGCCTAGCTGTATCACTGTGGAGACTTCTGAGTGTTATTTACAGAATAGGCATAAACAAGGATCTATCAAAAAGCTGAGAGCCCACAATCCTCCCTTCAGGGTGTAAAACATTGTTATTTGTGTTTTAGGAACACCTACAGAAAGAGTCAACAAAGAAACAGTCAACAAAGCAATGTACTTAGAAACAAACATCTCTTAAGAAAAAACCATTCTTGCCAAGTTAAACAATAACCCAAGCCCTTTGCTTTTAAACATGGAAGGAAAGAATGAAGACTCATACCCATTTTTCTTTCTTTTATGACATCACACTGGCACCTGCTTTCATAAGGAAGCTAAGAACATAATGTATTGGTTTTTTTTTTCTTTTAAGATTTTATTTATTCATTTGAGAAAAAGAGAGAGAGAGAGAGAGAGAGAGAGAGAGAGAGAACGAGCGCATGCGCACAAGCATGGGGGGGGAGGGGCAAATGGAGAAGCCGACTCCCCTCCAAGCAGGGAGCCTCAGTCCAAGCCCAATATGGGGCTCTATCCCTGAGATCGTGACCTCAGCCAAAAGCAGACGCTTCACCAACTGAGCCACCCAGGTGCCACAAGAACATAACGTATTGTACTAATTGTTCCAAAGGTCTTAGATGGAAGATTGTCATGAAAAAATATTGAATTTGACAAAATTACTGCTTGTTATAAAAACTTCCTGAAGGTGAAAGGTGAAAAGGAAGGAGAAACTGTTTTCTGTTTTAATGATGCTAAACAATATTAGAAAGGATGCTAGTTAACTATATATAAAAATAATCATTTTTTATTCCGTATATGCCTGATGGTAACTGACAATTTAGTTACACTTTTCATAAGGCAGAGCAGTTTAGTAATATTGGTCGGTATTATTGCTGTCGGCATAAGATTTTCACTGGTTCCTCCAAAGCTTGCTAAGCTGTTGGATAACAAATGGGAAAATATCACACCACAGGCAATATTTATCCATCCAACAGGCAAAACAAGAAAATGGAACCCAGGCCTAGAATCCTCCAGTGTTACTCAATCAGGGCAAATTATTTATTGTCTTCAGTCCAGGAGTCCCGTGGGGCATGAAATATTGATTTAGGAATTTGTTGGGCATGAATGTCTGTGTGTTGTAACTATGTTTTTTATGGGGCTTGATATATGATAAATTGTTTCTACGTATGCTGTGATAAGACTGAAGAACAAATTAAGTCTGGCTCTTTAATAAACATGAATTAATAAACGCTAAAGTCTTTTTGTAATTACTAGCTTGGGGTCATTAACGTTTACTCCACGATGTGTGGGATTGCACAAGGCGTTGTGCAGCCGTGTGCCTCGCTCCATCTCTTCCTTTATCTGACGACAACACGGTCTCTGTGGCGCGCCACCCAGGCTGATTCCAATCTTCCTATAAGTGGCCAGTGGAGAGCCTGCGTGTTCTTCCTGCTTCACCTGGGGCATTGGGGGCTCTAGGTATTGGGGATGGGCTAAAGCTGGCCCCAGAGGAAGTTAGGGGAGTGAAGTAGAGCTGGAGTTCCTCATTATCTGAGCAGAAGAGCCAGAGTCTGGAGCAAGTACGAAGAAAAAATGAAACAAAGCATGAAGATAAAGAACGCAGTCATTTCATCAGCTAAAAATCTTTGTTCTTTACCATTCTCTGTGCCTCTAAAATACACAATATTAGAAGTAGGGGTTAGTATTAGTTAGGTTGGTTAGTATCTATTTGTTTCTTTGCTCTACTCATTTGGTCCTAGCCTAAACGGATCAGCATAGCGGTTACTAGCAAGTCTGACTGAGTCGTACTGCCTGGGTTCTAATCCAGCCTCTGCTACTTGTTAAGAATGTGAATTTACCTCCTTGTGCCTCAGTTTCATCTTTAAAAGGAGAGTGACAGAAGTACCTCTCCTGTAAGATTATTGTGAAGGAAAATAAGATACAGATACATAATATATGATGCATATGTAGATATATGATCATAGGTAATATATAATCTATTTTTGTTTACATTCACTTTAAACAGTGCAGGCATACATCTAAATCAATAATATTCTGTAGAAATATCAAATTTACTATTGTTTTGTAATTTCTATTTAACTTTTCACATCTGTAGGCCTTGTCTTCCCTGCTCTCTACCTATAAGCCCCCCCCCCCCCCACCGTCAAGGGTTGGAAAACAGTCTTATATTTTGTGGTGCTGAAATGTGCTTTGTTGTCCCATCTTTTGGGTGTTCACCCCTCCTGTTTTCAGTCCTGGTTTAGTGGCAGGTGAATATCGCCAGAGGGAAGGTATGTGACTCAAGTTTAGATATGCAAGTCCTCACCAGAAAAAGGCTTATTGACGTCTGAGATGACTGTCTTTAAGGCTGTGTAGACCTGGAGCTCAGGGAGTGGCCATCTTTGCCTCCTCCAGGGAGATCCTGACTGAGAATTGGAGCAACACTAAGGAACACAGAGCCAATAGATAGAGAAAGATGGCCCCTGAGGACACTGAGTTTCTAGATTCAATCTTGCCTCAGAGGAGTGTTCTTTGGATCTTCTGATTTTATGAGGAAAAGATTGAGGAAATAGATTCTGTCTTTAGTTTATTTAAATTGGTTTATATTGCATTTGCTCCTAAATTATACTCTCTAATATATATATATTTTCAAATCAGCTTGGTATAGGTGATCCTCTTTGAGGCCACTGACCTTACAGAAGGCCCTGTACATAGAATAGAACAATACATATTTATTGCATGTATGAGTGAGTAAAAAAATTTTAAAACTCTCAAAATTCATGAGCCCATTAATTTGATCTTCTGCACATTATCATACCATCCTAGGCAACTCAAGTTCAACTTAAAAAATGTCTTGATAAAGGAACAAATTATTTTTTAAAAATTTATTTACGTATTTGAGAGAGAGAGAGAAAGAGGCAGAGGGGGAGGGAGAGAGAATCTTAAGCAAACTCTGTGCTGAGCGGGTAGCCTTACACGGGGCTGAATCCCTGGACCCTGAGACCATGACCTGAGCAGAAACCAAGAGTCAGATCCTTAATGGACTACACCACCCAGGCACCTCAGGAACAAATTCTCTTGTAGAGAAACACATGATGTAGCCCTGAGGATCTTGTTGGATGAACTAGATTGCTAGAAAAAGGGTTTGGGGAGAGCAGAGATTAAGCATGGGAAAAACTGAGTTTCTCTTAGCTTAACTAAATTCATGGTCAGCTCTGTTCCTTAACCTCCTTTGGCACCATTCTGCATTCACAAAATGGGAAACATTTATTTATCTTGCAGGTTGTTGTTAGGCTCAAAGGAATTCATTGATATGTGAGCTAAGAATGACACAAATATTTTTTGTTAAAATTTTTTTTTTCAGATACACCTACTTCAATTGGTGGACACGCACCTGACGAATCATGAGCCTAAAGGTGTTTAAAATGGTTTTTCTAGTCAAATGCACAACAGAAGGCACATTTTCAAAAGGATATATGTAAACATATGCTATTATTTCTGGGTCTGGGATGTGACCTTTGGGGAAATACTCGGTTTGCTCTTCTGTAAAAGGAAGGAGTCCATTGCCACGTTAGCCCCAAGAACCTCTTAGTGTTGCCATCTCAGGACTCCAGCAGATAGAATGGGTTCTCTGCTTAAGACAATGGTTCCCTTGGGCCATCCCTGCAGCTCAGTACCTGTGAGCCTCCCCTCCCTGGGGGGGCTTGGTGGGCGTGGCGACAAGCACCTGCTCCCTGGCTTTCCTAGAATCTTGCTCCAACCCCACATTTTAACGGTGTAGCTCAGCAGTCTCCCAGCTCTTCCCTCAGGGGTGCTTTATGAGATCCGGTTTCAGTTCCCTGGTGGGTAGCTCCAGGTCCCGTTACAACTCCCCAGAGCTCAGCGCGTGTGCGGGAGGGACAGAGCCAGGGGGAGATCGAGGGAGGGGACCAGGCTCCCGGGCTCTAGTTACCCGCGCGGCACGGCCCCCGCCCCGTGCCGCCGAGTGCGCGGCGAGGCCGGGGAGCGTCGCGGCCCCTTTAAGAGCCGGGCCCAGACCGGCCCGGGGGCCGCGGGAGCCCAGAGCGCCGTGCGCCGCCGTGGAGTTGGGATCCGGCGCAAAAGTTTCCTCCCAACTCCGGCCCCGCGCACCGCCGCCGCCGCCGCCGCCGCCCACTCCAGCCCGGGGCCTGGGGTCGGCCGGGCTCGGCCGCCGCCGCCGCCCCTGCCGCCGCCAGGGCAGGGCCAGGGCCAGGGCCAGGGGGGCAGGGCCAGGGCCAGGGCCACAACCCGGCCGCCAGTTTCGCTTTGGCGGGCTGGGAGCAGCCGCCTCGTCCGGGCCGAGCAGGAGCCGGAGCCCGAGCAGGAGGAGTAGGAAGAACCCGACAACGCCTCCGGCCACCAGCTACCTGGAAGGCAGCCCAGCCCGTTGCCGCCCCCTCCCCCGATTGCCGCCCGCCGCGGGGCCGCCTGCGCCGGGCGGAGGGGCGCCGCCGCGAGCCCCGGGCCCTGAGGGGACGCCCGGAGAGAGGCGCTCGGGGGCGCGGACCCGCCGGCGTCGGGCGTACCCCGATATTAGGGGCTGTGGCCGTGGGGCCGGGCACCTGTTCGGCCGGGCGCGGCGCGGGCACCGGGGGCTAGGATGAAAGTGACCGTGTGCTTCGGCAGGACAGGCATCGTGGTGCCGTGCAAGGAGGGCCAGCTGCGCGTCCGGGAGCTCACGCAGCAGGCGCTGCAGCGCTACCTGAAGACCCGGGAGAAGGTGAGCACTGGGGCGGGGCGGTGGGGGGACGCGGCTGCGGGGCGGGCTCCCGGCGAGCGCACCGAGGCCAGGCACCTGTCAGAGGCCCCAGGACCCGGTGGCGACGCCCAAGGGGCGCAGAGCGCCCAGGAGACTTTATTGGGCGCTACCTGTTCTCGCAACTTTGGTTTGTTTGCTCATATAAGTGACCTGGATGTCTCTGGGGGTTTGTGGGCCTTGCTTCTCAGAGGGTGATAGGAGGAAACGCAGCGTGGGAGTCAGTTGGGGACTCCCTACAAATGCAAGATCTGGTGCCCTAATCCAAGCCCCCTGCCTCTGAGTCTGGTTTTAAACAAGGTCCCAGGTGAGTGGAATGACCATTGGAGTTTGAGAAGCACTGCCTTCCAAGGTGTTTGAGAGGACACTTCTTAAGGGAGTATTGGAAGGTATTGCTTACTTCAGGTGTGAGTTTTGACTAGGGCTAGGGCCCGCCCCACTTCTGTTCCTTGGACTTAGAAAGTTGATTGGTGCGAGTAACACACACTCGGAAGTTAGCACTGATGGGGCCTCAGGGATTGAAGTCTTGTGAGCTTTCTCCATCAGTGACTGGGAACTTAGGTGGAAGGATGCTGTTTGCTTCAACTAACCCGTCTACATGTGGAGTGTCTTTAACGCCGCATTTTCTCTGTTTACTAGTGTGTGTGCCTGGCCCGACTAGTGAGTAGATTATTCACAGCTCTGTCCCTGAAATCAAAAACAAGTAAAAGTTAAGTGACTGTTATTTTTAAGTGGGCAGTGCATCTTCAGAAGGCCTAGCTAGACACTAGAATTCATGGTGGGTGTTTGGATAACATACTGGGACTCTGTGTCTTCTTTGATGGGATCTTTAAATAAAGGCATCGGAGAGCGCCTTTTTCTTTTTCTTTTTTGAGTCTTCATATGGAACAGCATACCTCAAATCCTCATCAAAAAGGACAAGCATAAACTCTTGTGCTAGAGGTCAGTGGCTCATTTAATATTTGTTCTCTTGCTGTGAGAACTGTAGAAATGGCCTTTAAAACTGTATCTACCGCAGTTTTTCCCCAATGTTACAATAGCGTATGCTGGTTTGTTGTTGTTTTTAGGATTTTTATTTATTTGAGAGAGAGTGAGAGAGCACTGTGCTGGTGCTCAAATGCAGGGGCAGGGGGGAGAGGGGCAGTAGGAGAGGTAGAAGCAGGCTACCTGCAGAGCAAGGAGCCCTATGAGCTGATCAAGGAGCCCTGTGAGGAGCTTGATCTCAGGATCATGACCCCATGATCATGACCCCACGAAGGCTGATGCCCAGTGGACTGAGCCACCCAGTCACCCCATGTATATTGCTTTGTATTCTGTAATTCAGTTAAAAACTGAGATTTGCACAAGTAACCAATTTCCTTGGAACTGTATTTCCCTAACTTTTGAAAGTAAGCTTAGCAGTAACATTATTCTAGGCAGATTATTAAAATAAACATCATTGAAGGATTATTTTAATGAAATGATAAAGTTATTTTCTACTAACCCAATATTAAAAATAATTTATGCTCTAACCTCTTGTATATATAGAAGCTTAGTATGTGGAGCTGTCCAAGTAACGGAAGTACGCTACATACTTATGAATAACATGCAGGGGACTAGATGAAATTTAGTGCATTGTAATTTGATCTTAAAAGGTGTTAAAAAGCTATTGATATTCTGTACTGAAAGCATAATTTATAATATCACAAAACCTATAATGTAATTGTATTGATCAGTTTACTGTTATTACCAGATATTACATTTTTCCGTGTTTACATTTATATATTAGCGAATGTGACATTTAAAGGTCACCTGTAGTTTATAAATTCTCCCTCTCTTCTTTGGCTTTTAAAATCTCAATTTAATAAGTGGCAAGTGATATTTTCTCTTTCCCAAATCTCTCTCTCCCAGAGTTTCATTTTGAATAGTATTGTAATCATAACAAGGCTTAACTGTTATTAAATGGTATTCCTAATAGAACTAAAATGTCAAGAAATGATCTGTCAAATTCCATGCTTTCATCCATTGTATTTGGAAAATAATAGGAAAACCCAGAAATGTCAAAATTCAGTTTGAAAGGCAACTTGTCATAAATTCACTTTCTTTAAATCCGTGACACAGATTTAAAAGTCTTGCTTCCCTGGACAGCAAGGTTTTTAGTCCTGCCCTCAGACATAAAAACTTAACAGTAAAGTGAATTGTGCTGACTCTATGCAGGCGCTGTTGTAGGAACTTTACTACGTAAGTTAAATGACCTCATAAGACAGGTACTGGTATTTTCTTTTTGCAGATGGGGAGAAGAAAAAGACAGAGATATGAGTGATACGTGGTAGAATTGAACCCAGGAACTGAGTCCTTACTCATAGGGTCCTTACTCATAGTTGCTAATGCACAGCCCGATAGGTTATTATGCATGGGAGTTTATCCATCTTACTTATTTTTTACAGTTTGTTTTAAAAAGACCTTCCAGTTACAAACTGCTATAATAACCTATCAACCTAAAGATGGCAATTTTGTTTCTTGCAGAGAGTTGTGACATGTACAAGTCCCTCTTGATTATATCTTATACAGTATAGGTCTACATGTAATGGGGAGAAGTCTAGATTCTGAGCCTAATATTGCAGGATTTGCAAACCAAGTATGAAAAACATTCCTTAGTTTGATTACTAGTGGAAAAATGGGCCAAATCTCTTAGATATTCAGGTAGAGAGTGCTATAAAGAAACAAATTTGGTGGGAAAACGAATGTAAATTAAGCCCGTTTCTTTTTGGGTCTTGAATTATTTAGATGGGAGAAAGGCAGATTTCAAAATTGAGGATAGAGTTGAGGGGTGTCTAGTTTGGCGGATAAGTGAAGCCCAAGGAAGCCTTTCTGGATTTTGTGGACAGCATGGGAAGTATCCACCCTCTGCTGAGAAGAAACAAAGAAAACTGGTATTTGGGGAATGTGGGGAACCAGCTGAATCAGCATCAGATAAGGCCGGAAGTAGGTAAGATGCTGAAGACACTGAGGGAACTTTTGGGAAGGCTTTAATTATATTCTGAAATGGACTTTGAGTTTCCTGCTTTCTCCCCTTCCCCCACAGTTCAATGAACTTTACCAGGAAGGTGGAATTGGCTAAGGGGCAAGAATTATGGGGTTGCTTGCCTTTGGATCCTGGTAGTTTATCAAGTGTCCCAAGCTCTAAATCCAATTTACTTAAGTAGTTAGTGGAGAGGAGATTGTCTTCTTAAGTAGTCAAGGTGGGGATCATTGGGTAACTAGTTAAATTTATCATCAAAATTAGGTGTCACAGTTGAATGGTAATTGAGGCATATCCTGCAGGGGCTCTCAACCCTGGCCGATCATTAGTTACCTCTAATTTATCATTTAACATTTTAAATAATACAAATGCCTACTTCCCTTTCTCCAGGATTCTAATTCATTGGGTTTGGAGTGGAGCCTGGGCATCGGTGTTTTAAAAGGTGATTTTAATGCCCAGCCAGGGCTGAGAACTACTAATCAACTATCTAAATCATTTGGTATCACTGAACTCATTTGATCTTAAACTCTTTTGATGTCAGGTACTGTATTTTAGACTCTCCAGACCAACCTGTCATTAGTAATCGTCCCTCTTACCATGAATGCATTCTCACAGCAGGTGTTCAAATAATTTATTAAATTGAACATTCATTTATATATATATATTTCATACACACACATACACAAACACACACGCACTAGATGAGGTCAAAGTAAATAAGGGAAAGGCTGGTTTAGTAATGAGAATGTATAGTGTGTGGAGTGTAAATGAATGAGATAATATGAATATTGGGTTCATGGGATAGTGGGTATGCTGGAATTTTAAGCAGATTTGTGGATTTGACCGTATGAGAATACTTTTTTTTTTGAAGAAACATTTGATAGACTTGCCTAAATGAATGAATCTCTTCTGTGTTCAGATATTTTGAATAATTTGTTTTTCCATTGAGACCAGCTTCCCAAATCTGAGCAAGATGAGAGTAATAATTCCATTTTCTGATAAACTGTGAGGTCAGCATCTAAAAATTTATGTAGTAACAAGAATCTGGCATGCTATTGTATGGGCCTAACCTGGAGAAATGGGCTGGAAATCCTAAATTCTTGAAGGCTTCAGTTTTTGATGAAGGCTTCCAGATTTTTAAGATTCCTATGTACATAAACTACATAAATCCAGACTGGATTTCCAAAATGCTTTTCAATTTATTGGACATGGACTTACTTGAGTGCTTCATTTTCTGTTCAGTCCTCTCCTAGTGTGTGGACTACATGCTCTCTCCAGTACGTGGGTAAGACAGACTCACCACCAGCAGGGCACCTGCTGCGAGCTTGGTTTTGGTTCTCCTACTTGACTTGAATAGAAGAGCCTCCGGGTTTGCAGACACAGGGCTAGTGGTGCCTGCCATGACCCATAGATATCTTTTTTCAATTCTGCTCAGTATCACATTTTTTAAAAGATTTTTATTTATTTATTTGAGAGAGAGACAGAGGTAGCGAGAGAGAGCACATGAGTGGGGAGGAGAGGGGGAGAAGCAGGCTCCCCAGTGAGCAGGGAGCCCAATGTGGGGCTCCATCCCAGGACCCTGGGATCATGACCTGAGTCGAAGGCATGGTCTTAACTGACTGAGCCACCCAGGTGCCCGGCCCCTCAGTATCACATTTTGACTTAGTTGCTGTGTTTAAATATTTTGAGACTCATGCAAAGGTCCAGAGTTCTGCCTTCTTTGGGGGAAAAACAGATCAGAATTTCTGGCAGTACTGGGCTTTACTTTCCCACCTCCCAACCATCAGTTGGAGATGAGATGCCCCTCTTGTCTTTGGAAGGCGTCCTTCTGCTCTCCACTCGATTATTGCCTCACCAACAGTTTGTTACCACCTCAGACTTAACTTTTTACTCTGTCATTATTTCCTTGTTTATGGCCCATCGTTGTTCTTTGGCTTGCTGTCGGTGTTTGGGTTTGTGGCCC